AAGAAGAAGAAGAAGAAGAAGAAGAAGAAGAAGAAGAAGAAGAAGAATGAAGAAGGAGGAGGAGGACAGGATGGTGAAATGGCTTTGGCTGAGACACTGGCTGCTCTTGCTGAGGACCATTGTTTAGTTTCCAGCACCCACAACCATCTTAACTCTAGTTACAGATGATCTAATGCCATCTTCTGGCCTCTTTGTGCACTGCATGCATGTGCCTGACATACATGCAGGCAGAACTCACACACACACGCTAAAAGATGTCTAAGCAAAATTTTTTAATTAATTGAAAATAAAGAGATTGCTCAATAGTAAAGATCCCTGCCTGCTCTTGCAGGGGACCCAGGCTCAATTCCCAGCACTCTGGCTCACAGAGCCACTTTTCCTATTGCAGAGGAGCCAATGACCCCTTCTGATCTCTACAAGGACCAGGCACACACAAGGCAAACAGTTATACATGCATGTAAAACATTCATACGATAAAAATAAAGCTATAAAAAATACATCTCTATTACACATTTGCCAATGTTTTCTTTAAAAAAAAATACAACAGTTAGAGAAAATTTTGTTGCAATAAATGGCCTCTTCAAAACTTTTCACTTCCCTATAACTTTGTTAACACTGATTCAAGGTTACAAACGAAAACCCTTGATAACAGTGTTGTTCTTCTGCAGGTACCCCTAAAATACAAGCACACCATAAATGTGCAGGAACACTACCATCCTTAAATACAAAGAGGATACTGTAATTAAGATAGATGAAATGATATAACAATCTAAGAATTAGATTTTCTTCTAATTGCAATATTTGATATATTTCTCTCATTGAGCTACACAGCCACCCCAGAGTTCCTATTTTAAGCAAATATTCCTGGTAATCATAGCTGGTGCAAATGGGACGGCAGAACCTTGCACCTTCCTGAAAGTGATTAACAAATTATCCAACGACATATCAGTTTGTGCTCATTATTTATTTGCTTTCATTTTATGTGTATGGGTGCTTTGTCTGCATGCACCTAAGAGCACTTCATGCTTGCCTGGTACCCACAGAGGCCAGAAGAGGACATCAGAACCCCTGAAACTGGAGTTACAGGTGGTTGTGATCTACCACGTGAGTGCTGGAGCCACAGCTGGGTCCTGTGCCAGGGCAGCAAAGGCTCTTAACTGCTGAGCCAACTCTCCAGCCTCGTTATGTACTCATCGCAGAGAAAAAAGAAATTTTAGGTACTCGAGACAAGTGCCTTAGACCTAGGAATTGGTGTACACAGGGACACATTGACAAAGGGCGGAGTTTGAGACAAACAGGTCTCTAATCTGAGAAATTCTGCACTGTGGACCTTGCCCGGCAATGAATTTTCATAAGTCTTCGAAATAAAAATATCTCCCAAGAGCCATTTAGCTGATCAACTTAGGAATAATCTCTCTGGCTTTCTTTGCTAAAAGTGTTGGGCTCCATTGAAACACAGCTTCCCTTATCCCTCCATGATAAAGCAAAATCAAAACCAGACTGCACTTGCGAGGTCCTCACGCCCAACGGCTCTCTGATTTCCCCTCCAGGAGGAGCAGCCAGCTGTGAAGGAACCATCTTTAACCGCTTATCTAATCTCCATAAATAACTGCTGTGAATCAAACTCCAGCCCCAACTTGTTCAAATGAGTGTTGTGTGATTAAATATCAGGAGGGCTCCTCCTTAGAGTCTGAATTTGTATCAGAATGTAATAAGTTCCTTTAAAATGTAATTTTTTGAACTACAATTTTTAACCACAATATGTAACTACTCTACAGTTACAAGGATAATAAAACTTAATTGTGGTAGCTCTGTGAAAACAAACAAAACAAAACACCTACAGAAATATAGCATAGTTGAAGTGTTCAACACATGAGCAATAATGTGGCTATAGTTTGGAGCTGCTGAATTTGGCTTGTAGAATTTAGAAGAAATTATTTGCCCATCTTCTTTCAATTTTTTTTTTTTTTTAACAACAGCAAAATCCCTGTGAAAACACATTGTTTGGGGCTCAGAGGAGGGATGAAATGGAAGGTTTCCTGCCCTCTACCATCCTCTCCATGAAAACACACCAGTCTTACAATGCAGGCCTCTCCCAGAAGCCTTGCAGAGAACTCTGCTGGGCCCACAGGACATTCACACTCTGAGGTTTTCCTGTCCCTGCAGGCCTGAGATACAGGCAGGCTCTCAGCCAAGAATCAGAGGCTGCAGTGCGAAGCTGTTTGCCGGCATCAAACAGAAAAGCAGATCACTTCAACACAACAACCTCGTCTATTAAAGTGTTTGTTGTCTAAGAACAGGCCGCTGGAGCAGGAAAAGAACACCCCCGCTGGGATGTCCTGGGGTTACACTCCATTTCCACCCCAGAGCCCACACGGGAGATCCAGTTTCCATTCGGGTGCTGAGATTTTCCTGAAAGCAACACAAATCCCTTTGTAATGAAAGTTGCAGGGTCTGAGAACAGGGCCCTCACTTCCCAGCTATCCCTGAAAGGCTTCTCCCTTCCCTCTCTGAGAAGCTCAGCAGAGGTCACCTGCCCTTCAGTCTCTGACCTCATCAGAGCCTGCTGCCCCAAGGGCCTCAGAAACACAGGTGCTTCAGGCAAGGGCTGTCTGACATTTTGCTTGGGATGGGGCAGAAAGTCTTTGAAGAAAAAGTGAATGAAAAATAGTGACTGAAAAATAGCAATGAAATATGTAATGACAAACAACAATAAAAATAACATAGCAGCAAATATAAAATTAAGGAAAATAATAAATAAAGGAAAAATAAATAATAAATAAATAAAATTAAGGAAAATAAATAAAATCATAAATAACAATACTAAAGCAGTAGAATACTGAAAAATAATAAAATAATCCTCTCCTTCAATGATCAATCATCTTTTCATATTTTCTGTAGTTATGAGATGGATGACTAGTTAGCCAATGAACAAATGATTAGTTTTCTTGCACATCATTAATTATGTGCTTCTTTTTGAGCACATGCCAGTGCTGTGCCCTGTCACACGAGACACAATTTTAACTCTAGACAGGTTTATTTATCTTTTACATCAGGCAAAACAGCTGTCTGCCTGAGTCATAAAACAGTACTTTTAAAGCCTCAAATAAATACAAATGAATATTGTCTTTTAGTTATAAAATTCCCAACAGTCCCAGCAAGTTATCACTCCCAGTATTTTTTAAAGAAAATGGTAACATGAATTTACAGGTACTGTGTTTGAATATATATTGATAATGACAGCCAGGTGATTTATAGCATCTCTCTCTCTCTCTAAGGCACTAAAATGCTTCCAGGACCATGTGCGGTGTATAAAACAGAGCATGGAAAGAGAGTTGGTGAGATGAAGAAGCTTTAGAAAGTCAGCCTCTATCATAAACCCCCAAATTCTGGTTCTTGCCTCATCAGCCTATATTGCCACGGTTGTAGTACCTTTAAATTCCCCCGACGACGGTCACTACCACACAACACACAGCAAAGTGGAGGTGTTGTCCCAGTATTGAGGTATCTGTGTGCTCTCCTTCTGTCTGTCTCCTTCCCTCCCCTCCCCTCTCTTCCTCTTCCCTTTAACTCAGTCTTGATGCTGTACTTATAAAGCTAGTGATCCACTCACTCTCATGAAACAGGGAGCCTGGCATGGGCTTTGGTTGTGAGGAGGAAGAAGCAGAACATACCTTGGGTAAACTGTGTGATGCTCTGGTTACCCTGGCCCAGGTTGAGAAGGTAGCCATGCTGGGGGGCTTCTATCACAATGAACCTGAGAGAAAAATGCACGCTGTCTCTGTCCTCCACTTTCAGGATTTTGCTTGTGATCATGAACCCCAAATGGCCAGTGGCCAGAGTACGAAGTGTAGAAGCTCCTTTGTTCACCACAATTTGGGGGACACTGTTGTCCACAGCTAGGACCTGGATTTTCATCACTTGAGGTCTCCTGGTTTCAAACACTGTATCAGGAAAAACATAGAAGTCAGAGTGGGTGCCATCAGTCACTGTGAAGGAGAAGCTGTCTTCCGTGGACTCCGTGCCATCATGTTTGTAGCTGATTAAGTTTTCATTCAAGTCTTGCTTGGTAAAAACCATGACGGGTCTAGTATTGTTGAATAGGAGGTGACCATGAACAGGGACCTGAGTGACCGTGAATTTCAGGAGCCTGTCGGGAGTATCTCTGTCTTCCACAGTGAGTTCAAAGGGAGTGATCAGCTTGCTTTCACTTTCGCTGACCACCAAGTTGTGGATGGTGACCACTGGCTTCTTGTTGTCCACATCACTAATAGAGATCCGGAAAGTTCGGAAGACGGGGTTACGTCCGTCGGTGACTTGAAACTCAAAACTGTCCATTTTGACCTCGTCCTCAGCTGTGTGTATATAGTAGATTTTGTTACCGGCCAGCTGGAGCTGGGTGAAAGAAGTGATGGACGTTCCTCTTTGATCTGTGCACTCCAAGTGACCTCTCATAGGAGGCCTGGTGATGGTGAAAACTAAGTTCTCATCAGGACTGTTCAAGTCACTCGTGCTCAGTAGGTCTGTGGTAAGAGTGACTTTGCCACCTTCTTTTAAGGACACCCCCTTACTTATCACATCGGGAAAGACAATGTCAACACTTCCAATAGACACGTAAAAGTATCGATCTATAAGGGCATTTGTTCCATCGGTCACATCAAATTTAATTAGGTCTCGAATGCCCTCGTGCCCAAAATGGACATACTGAATTAAATTTCTGTCCACTTCATCTTGGGTAAAATTCATGCCTAGAGTGATATTCTCAAAGACACCTGTAGGTTTTCGTCTCTGTAACAAGCCATGTCCTGGTCCATAACGAATAATGTAAACCAATGATTTGTCATCAGAGTCCAAATCAGTTGCCATTAACATTTTGTTGTTGATAACTTTGGTTTCCCCAATTTCTATCTCTAGCCCATTATTGATGGCCATCCTGGGGGTCTCATCATCAACAGGGATGACCACAATGAGGACCATCTTCTCCACAGAGTGCTTGCCGTCCGTCAGTTTAATCACGAAGCTGTCCTCTTGCGTCTCAGAATCATCATGCTCATAAATAATGCTGGAACTCTCTATAATCTGGTCCAGGGTGAAGCTTTCAACCAACACGGTGCCATTGATCAGCTGGTTCATGATGTGCCCATGAGTCGGAAAGCGGGTAATGGTGAAAGTTAAGTCATCTGGGGGGATGTCGGCATCAGCAGCATTGAGGATGGGAGTGTCGACCACCAGACTCATGCCTTCCATCACCATGAACTCCCTCATGAACATTTCTGGCTGCTCGTCGTTGGTGGGAATGATCACAATGGGGAAAATCTGTCTCTCAGAAAAGTTAATGCCATCAGAGCAACGGAATACGAAACGGTCTTCGACAGGCTCCACTCCTCTGTGGACACTCTGGACGTAGTTAATGTGCCCTTGCCTGAGATCCTTCAGCGTGAAGGCACTCACAGCAATCCCCGCTCTCGACTTTTCTGAGCCTGGCGCTGGAGCAATGTTCTCTACATAGCCCGAGGTTGGCTGGATGATAATTGTGCACAAGAGGTCATCATTCAGGGAGTCCACGTCCTCAGCACTCAGGTGGGTGAGGGTTATCATGCTCTTGTCGCCTTCCCGCACTACAAACTGCTCACCGATGGAAATTTCAGGGGCTTGGCTGTCCACGGGGAGGATAGTTACCCACACAGTAACACCCTGAATAATACTGCTGCCGAGTCTCCACTCCTGAGACATGGTTGACAGACTCAGGTTAAAAGAGTCTGCTTTGGGCAAGAGGCCGATCTCACCGCTCGTGTGGGCATAGACAACAGAGCCCTCCAGGATGTCCCTCTGGGTGAACTGCTCAGCTGGAGCTCCATTGACCAGAATTTCCCCATAGATGGGTGGATTTTCCAATAGGAAAGTCAACATCAAGTCATCAGTGTCCTGGTAGGCCCCCTTAATGATGTTGGCAGTGACTTCGGTAGCCCCATTCTCCAAGACATCTAGATAGGACTCCAAAGTGCCCGCAGGAAGGACTGACACAGGCCCTTCGCGCTCCGTTGGCCGTACATTCACTCTGAGAGTGATTGGCACCACGTGGTGTCTGTCACTGACCTCCAGGGAGCAGCTGTCAGTCAAAGAGTCATCCCCGTTATTCAAATAGGAAATTCGGCCATACTTTATGTCCTCTAAACGGAAGCGTCCTCCGACACGCAGCGTCTGTCCGGAGAGCTGCACGTGGCCGTGTCTGGGGGCCTGTGTGAGAGTGAGAGTGATGTGGGCCGCGTCGGTGTCAACGTCATTCACATGCAACTCAGCGTCACGGAGGACGTGACGGCCCCTCTTCTCAACGGTGACGCCGGTGTTGACGATCTCGGGGGGCTGGTTATCCACGGGCTGCAGGTAAAGGGTGAAGGTGCCAGGAGCCACATTCCCAGCTCGATCCTCCACTTGGAACTGGAACTGAGCTACTCGAGCGGCTACGCCCAGCTCCTGACCCGGGGGCCTGTAAGCGATTTTATGATGATTGACCTGGGCTTGGGTAAACTGGGTCACCACAACTGTAGGCTCATCCGTGAAGACCAGCATGCCTAGCGGAGCTGGTGTGTGGTTCTCATCCGTGTCCGTGGGGGGCTGGATCACCGTGTACTGTAGCTCTCGGTCATCTGTGTCCAGGTCAGTGTAATGCAGCCACCTTTTCCTCAGCGGTGTGAGCTGGGATTCCTGCACCACCATCCGAAGGGGACAGCCGCTGCCTAGTTCTGGAGGGAGGCGGTCCACAGGATGAATCCGTATCACAAACCTCTGGACCCCAGACCGATTAGGGGGGTCATGATTGTCTTGGACTCTAAACGTGAGGTGGTCCATCACTGGCCCAGGGCTGTGGGGCCCCGAATGCCTGTAGAAGAGCTTCCCCTCTGTTATATCCTGTTGCCGCCACTCTGTCACTGCTCGCTCGTAAACTGACCCTTGCTTCTGCCACAGGCCCTGCTCTTCCCTAGGGACGTGAGTTTGGCGGAGAAGCAGGTGTCCCGTGCTTGAGAAGGGCGGCTCCAGGACAAAAAGCAGCTGCGAGTCCTCTGAATCCATATCCGTTGCACTCAGAGCCAAGGGTGGGATGGGCACAGTGTCCCCCTCCGCCAGCGTCAGCCCAGTGTTGGCGTTCAGGACAGGAGGCTGGTCATCCACAGGGACCAAAGTGATGGGGAACAGGAACTGGACCTGGTGCCTGCCTCCCCCGTCTGACATGCGCAGCACCAAGTTGTCACTCAGCGAACCGTCTCTGTCATCATGCTGGTAGAGAACCTGGCCAGCTGCCAGCTCGGCCACCGTGAAGGTCTTGGGGGCAGAATCCCTACTGGGAGAACCCAGAATCACAAGGTGGCCATGCCGGAGCCCAGCCACCACCTCAAGTCTCACGGCTTCTAGGTCGTCCTCATCACTGATGACCAAGTTTTGGGGTCCACTGCCTTCAGGACCCGTGAGCGGCCGATACTGACCCTCGTAGAGAATAAGACCAGTGTTCCGTGTGACCACTGGGGCCAGCGTGTTCATGGGTTTCACCACCACCATGAAGGCAAAAGGGTCTGAGGCTGCTCCCTCAGGGTCCACGACTTCCAGCTCCAGTTCAAACAGGCGCTCCTGATCGGAGTCCTCCGAGGGAGGCTGGTAGGCAATCTTCAGCAGGCGCAAATCACGTTGTGTAAAGGAGGAGAGAGGTAGGCTTCGGTCATCAGTGCTCACCAAGTAGCCCTGCCCGGGCAGGAAGGCGGAGGTGAGGTTGAAGATCAAAAGGTCGGCGTTGGATTCAGCATCTTCCGCTGCCAGCATGTCTGGAGTGAGCGCAGTCAGTACAAACTGGTCCACCTCCATCATCATCATGGCCACGAAACTGGGCTTGGGTGCAGTGTTCTCCACTCCTCCCCGGATCCTCACAAGCACCTGGAAGTGCTCGCGTTTTAAAGCCGGGCTGCCCACAGGAGCCCCTCGCGGATGGAGCTCCACCACCATAGGCAGCCAATCCCTGTTAGGTGAGCGACTGGAGGCCGTGTGGCGGTAGCGCACTCCAAGCTCCTGGAACGCTCTGCAATCCATCAAAAGGGTCTCGGGGATCCCTCCCTCTCTGGCCTCTCTCTGGACTTGCGGGTAGTGAAGGAGTTCCCCGTAGCGAGGCAAGGCGCTCAAACCTGACAGGATGCCCACGCGGCACTCCTCCGTCTCAGGCTGGTAGGTGAACTCTAAGCTCCGAGCGTCCAGGGCATTGCTGGTCCCTAGCAGTTCTTCCACGACCAGAGGTAAGTTCCGAGTCACAACCTCCAGCTGGGTGAAGACCACTTCCACCTCCAGGGCCAGTGGCAGGACTACCGCCCCTCCCGGGGCATCGTAGCGCAGCTGCAGCCGGACGCGGTCGCGGGAAGGGCTGCGGGCGCCCAGGTGTGAGTAGCGCACCTCGCGCGGGCCGTAGTCGCAGGCGAAGCGCTTGGGACTCAAGCGGCCAGGACGCTGGGCCAGCGCGTCGTTGTCCAGCACGGTCACCGCGCAGCGGTCTCCTGGCTGCACCTGCAGCACTAAGTCACGCAGCGGATCCAGCCAGACCTCGCGACCGAAGGGCACCCGGAGTCCGCGGTTCGCCACCACTATCGCTTCCTCTGCAGGGACCCCTGAAGTCCCGGAGAGACCCGGGGACAGAAGCGCTGCGTCGGGGGCGCCGGGCTGTGTGGAGGCGCGGCTTACCAGTGACAGGAGCAGCAGCAGCAGCAGCAGCCTGGGAGACTGTGTGTGTGTCGGCTGGAATCTGGAAGGTTTGGGTGTCCTGTGCGCGCGGGTGGCCATCCCGGGAATCCTTGTGGTATGCAGGGTCCCAGAGTTAAGAGTTCACCCTGCGAGTAAGCCAAGCTAATCCGGGTGCAGGCTTCTGGAGAGACGGTTGGGAAGGGCCGGGAACGCGGCGCGGCGCCGGCGGGGTCCTCCCGGCGGCAGGGCAGGACCTCCAGGAGGATGGCCAAGAGCGCCGCGCGGCGAGGCTCGGAGCCGCAACCCAAGATGCTAAACACTTGCTGCCCGTCCCGGGCGCGTAGCAGACAGTGGAGCCCCTACTTCCCAGGTCCCGGGACCTTAGGCTGTGAGGGAAATCCCTCCCCTTGCACCCCCTAACTCCAATTCTCCCAGGGGGCCAATCGCTGATCCCCGGAGGAGGCCCCGAGTACAGGGTTGGGTAGTGATTGCTGTCAATCAGCTCCCAGGCGGGGAAACTGCGCAGAGCTGAGGTGCAACAGGTTGGTTGGAATGAAGGGGCCCTAGACCTGGACCTGGGGCTGGGGCTCAGCCGCCCGCCCGCGCGGCCCTACGGACTCAGGGCTTCAGGTCTTCAAGCCGAAATGAATCTATTTTAGTCCCCTTCCCCGGTCACTGAAATCTCTTCCCCAGGGTGACCGCTTCTCGCCGAAACTTCCAAAGCGGGAGGAGGGGAGTAAAGTTGAACTCTACTTGTCGTCTGGGTTTGAAAAGGAACCCCAGGCAGTTCGGGAAGACACTGGGGATTTTCGAAAGGACGAGAGGGGGGTTGTTAAAAGCCAGACCTAGCTAGCCAGAGACCTAGCTACCCCCGGCCCTGGCTGATTTCCCCATACTTTACAACCAACGCCGCCAGCGGATTGGTGGGTTTTTAACAAGCCCCTCCTTTGCAACCAAAGTTCACGGAGTTAAAATGGGAAAAAAAAAAAAAAAAAAAAAAAAAGGCTTCTGGGGTGTTTAAGAAATGCCATCTGATCAGAATCTCCATCCTCCCTGAGCACGTAGCCCCAGGCTGGCCCGAGTCACCGCTAGCTGGATAGCTGTCATAGCAGACACACTGTTCAGCCCGCAGTAATTAGACCAAGTACAAGCTAAACCCACTTGTCAGCTTCGCTTTTTTTTTTTTTTTTTTCCAAACTGAGAGAACTGACAAACACCCGGAGGGGCTAAGGAGAGTTTGGATAGACCTCCTTTCAACTAGTCCGGATTGAAATCCCAGCCTGAGCGCTTCCTGCCCCCTTGCGTCGGCGGGTCAGGTTTCACCGGTCTGCCGATTTTCTTCTTAAAAGGTTTGCTTCCCCCTTCCCTCCACCCAGACCCCCTCACAAACAAAACCCGGAGGTTTTCGCTGGATTTCTGGGCTCCCGTCTTGTTTAGCATGTCGAAATATTTCCCCCAGTGATAGAAGAGTGACAATGAAACAAGGAACTGGAACGGTGGCCATCTATTCCCCTTCTCTTTAATAAAACACCGGATCTGAAAAAAGAGGGTGTGTGAAGAACCCTCCTAAGATTCGGTCGAATTGAAAGACGCGAGGTTTAAGAGTGGCGGGTTTTAGGAAGAAATGCCAATCATTTCACCCTTCACGCGGCCAGTCTGCGTGCCTCTATCTCGACTCCTGCCTGGTGTATTTACACAGGCCAAAGCACTAACTTCATTGATAGATTTTGCTGGCCTCGGAGGACCAGAGGTGGAAGGTTCTCAAAGTCTTTTCAAAAACAAGCAAGGCATTTTTATGCAAACAAAACTCTGAACTTTAGTAGAACCTCCGCTGTGTTTTGTGCTTTGTACTGTTGGGAAGCCTCCGACTCCCACTTAACTGTCATAATTTATTACCAAAAAAGAAAGGATACAGCAAGTACTTGAAACCCATGAGAAAATTCCCATCCGACTTCTAAGCCAGTTTCCAATTATTTGTGATTTATCATGCTGATTCATGTCTTGGCTCAAATGGTTAAGACATGAAAATATTCCATTTTCTGTTTCTAAATACATAGGAAGATGTCAAGTGGGGTAGGAGGTCACTTAAAAAATAAAGGTCTTTCTGTATCGTGTTTTAAATCCAACTTACTGAAGAAGTAAAATGGACCCCAAGTGTTTTTGCTCAGGCTGTGGGGGAGGGGGGCAGTGTATGTGGTATGTGTGTATGTGTGTGTGGTATGTGTGTGTTCATGTGTATGTGTGTGTGCTTGTGTGTATGTGTGTGTGTGTGTTCTGGCCTGACTGAGCCACAGCCTAGACCCTTGATGGTTCCCAGTGGCTCCAGGCTTTTTCCTTTCTTCCTTTTAAAGTCCAACAATGTTTGATTTGCCAGCAGTGATAAGATCAGTATTTGAAGTATGGTCAGATGCCTGAAGGGCAGTGTTCAATATTTTGTTTCTTGCTAAGAAAAAAGGCCCCGGTTTATTTTCAAGTGACCTAAAGAAATCAATAAAGTGGACTTATTTTTAAAACTTTTAATTTTAGCCTTCCTTAACTGAAGTGATGGAATCATTCTTTTGAAACATTTTTAATTAAAACTCTTAGTTTACTTTTTTAATCGGAAAGGTAGTAATGCAGAGTTGCTTAGATATATTTTATATTGATGATCGTTGCTGAAAATGGTAAAATATTACATTTTCATCAGAGAAAAACTTACTGATGTTTTGAGTAACAGCTCAACATTAAAAGAGATTTGCTTAAGTTAGCAGGGAGATGTCATTTTAAGGAAAACATCCTTTATCTTAAAAGTGATAAAATAAGTTAACAAATGTATGTTTATTTTTTAAATCTAAGCTTAAATTTTTAAGCTTTTATTTCTTAAGCCTTGGACTACTTCTTGTAGATAATCCGGACAAAATATTCCTTAGGATAAATTCATAATTTTTTTGTTTTGTAATTTTTTTTCACTTAAAAATTTCACACAAAAAGCCTATTCAAAACAACAAACTTCAGTTTAGTGATTGCTGAACACGAAAGATTTCCGGCCTGAGGTCCAGCATCAAAGAGCGGACTTCCTGAAGTAAAGGAGGTATTTAAGATGCTGGCAAGATAGCCAGCTGGAAATACAAAGCCAGGCTGGCGCTAAGGGAGCAGTCTGAACATTTTAGTTTTCATTATAGAGTTTACCATGCTCTTGCTATAGCCTTCTATTGGATCTTGAGACTCCAATAGTCTCAGAGGCACTTAAAAAAATATGGAGCCCTCCTAAAGGATCCATGGTTGATTGACTTCAGGGTTCTTGCCTCCAAAGCCCAAATGTGCAAATGTGCGTTCCCTTATGTAAAATGAGTATAGCATTTGTACATGATCTATGCACCTTCTTCCGTATATTTAAATCACCTGGTTTATCCATGGTACCAAAGACGATATAAATGTGTAGATGGATGTTCAGTGGACAAACACAGAAGGAAGACCATCTGCACAGCCCAGACACAAAGGCTTTCCGAGTGTCTTCAGTCAGTGGCTTGTGGCATGGAAGGATCTGGAAGCTGTGGATACAGAGGGCGAGCCACACCTGAGGCAAATGATGGAAGCTTTGTGTGAAGCACTTGCTAGTTCCCAGCCGAGTTTTATTTTTGAGCAGCTACAAAAAAATAAAATAAATAAAATAAAATAAATTAACTTGGCTTTCCTACAAGCATAAAACTGGCTGTTTTCAGAGAAGCAGGAAGGGAGAGCAAACAGGGTTGGGCTGATCAATCTGGAGGGGCTCCTTCCCTCCAGCTAAGGGAGCTTAGGCAGCTGGCCTTCTGTTTCCCAACCTAGGCCTCAGGTGTAAAACAAAGGACTCTACCCTTGAAGTTAAATTCCTTTTCTATTCCGATTCTGCAGATTTAGAGATGACCTGCTATTTTGCAGCCACTCTTTAATTTTAAATTTTGATTTAATTTTATTTCCTGTGCCTGGGGGTTTTGTTTGCATGAATGTCTATATGCCCAAGGTGGAAAGATCCCATGGAACTGGGGTTAAAGCTGGTTGTGAGCCTCTGTGTGCCCCTGGAATATCACTGTTGGGAAAAGGGTCTCGACACAGTCCACATCTTGCTCACCCTTTCCTTACACTAAGATGCGCTCTTTCCCAAATGCTCATGAAATAATGTCTATTCTTCATTCTTTACAGGTTTTTAAAATTAAAATAACCCAGACATATTTTACATCGTCTTTGTAGGGTAGCCAATATAATGTGCAGTTCTCTTATCAGCAATCAGCAGAAACCGACTTTGGTAGAAGTAGGAAGGGAGTTTTATGTATTGGCTCATTCTCACAACAGACACACAGCCGAAAGCCAAGAGAAACAGCAGCAAGATACTCCGTGGAGGCTAACACGGTAAGCACTGCTGATCCCGGTGGCACAGGTGACCCTGCCCCCGAGGTGACAGTGTCTCACTTCCAGGTGGAGCAACCACTCCGAAGCTGCTATGCCTTCTGTCTCGGGGCTTGGGATATTCCCACTAACCAAACTGGTTGTTCTGTCTCTGCCACTGCAAACGCAAAGGTAGAGGCCCAACTGGACTGTCCACGTTTAAGTCCTAAGCCACACAGGCATAAGAGAGTGTGCCTCTAGTTTCTTTGGTTTCCTGATGCTCAATGACTTTTCTTTTTTAAAAATGTTATCAGTCTTTCTTCCCTTCCCATTATTTTATTTATTTATTCACTTTACATCAAGACTTAAACCCCCCTCTCCTCTTCTCCTCCCAGTCCCACCTTCATTCTCCTTCGTTCTCCCTTCCCCTTCTCTGAGGCAGAGGCCCTCATGGGTACTAACCCACCCTGACACCTCAAGTTGCCTCAGGACTAAGTGCACACTCGCCCACAGACAAGGTAGCCCAGGCAGGGGAAAGGGCTCCAGAGACAGAGAACAGAGTCAGAGACAGACATTCCCTACTCCCACTATTAGATGACCCACATGATGAGCAAGCTGCACTTCTGCTCTGTATCTGTAGGGGCCTAGGTCCAGCCCACGTGTGCCCTGTGGTTGGTGGTTCAGTCTCTGTGAGCCCCCATGGGCCCAGGTTAGTTGACTCTGTAGGTCTTCTTGTGGTGTCCTTGACCCCTCCAGCTCCCTCAATCCTTCCCACTCTTCCACAAGACTCCCTGAGCACCACATAATGTTTGTCTGTGGATCTTTGCATCTGTTTTCATCAGCTGAGGGATGAAGACTCTCAGAAGACAGTTATGCTAGGCTCCTGTCCAAAAGCATAGCAGAGCATATCATTAATAGTGTCAGAGATTGGCTATCT